TTAGAAGGAACTCCTGACAATGTATTTGTTATACACGTCAATGGTACTTCATTATCTTTCTCAATAAGGGAGTTTGCGCTTGTGACTGGCCTCAAATGTGTTGGTAACGATGCTGATTTTGAGTTCAGTGAAAATGTTCCTAACCGGATTATTGAGACTTACTTTGGAGGTGCCAATCTTGTCAAGAGAGACATTTGATGAAATGCTTTGCTGACAAGATCTGGGGTCACGACAATGATGGTGATGCCTTCAAGATAGCTTTGTTGTATTTCATACACACCTTCATTTTTTCATCCGAGAAGAACAGCACAACCATACCAAGGCTACAGTTTGACTTGGTCGAGAGTGGGCGCTATTCTGAATATCCATGGGGTTTAAAAGCATTTGAAACGCTGACAAAATCTATTAGCAAGAAGATGGATGCTCAGAAGAAGTATTACAGGATAGCTGGGATGCCCCTAGCTATGCAAGTGTGGTTTTATGAGTGATGTTCAAATGTTGATCCCAAAATTGCACTCCGAGTTGATAACGTGGTCCCCAGAATAATCAATTGGAGAACCACCGAAAATCAACCAAACTTTGCTTATCTGATGAACAACATGTTCAATGACAAGGGAAACATGGTAATATACAATTTGTATCGTGGCTACTTTACAATTCACTAATCATTAATGCTGCATACAGTTGCTGCATACATCTGCATACAGCTGAATACAGTTGCTGCTATGCTCATTAGTACTGCTGCATATTTGGTTAATTGAAACTTCAATACAGTTGTTGCTGCCTTCATTAATACAGTTGAATACAGTTGCATATGATTTACTAATCATTACTGCTGCCTTCATTTGAATAAAAATTACATTTTTGATTCCAGTATTAAAATACATCCATTATAGTAAGACTTTGATTGTATTTCGTTTTTCAAATTGTTTACAAGGACATCCATCTAACCGATATAGAGCTTGCCGTTATTCAGATTCCTCCAGTAGACGTTGCTGTTGAGAACAATCCTACTCCTACTCATTCAGACAAGTTGGCAGAGGATTCGGATGACTTTTCTCCTACACCTGATCTCTAGTGTAAGAAGAAACACGCTGCAAGTGTTGGTCCATCTTCATCACCGCCCCATAAAAAGCGCAAGGAACAGAATATTCATCCTTCAAATACAGTTCTAGTTGGTGTATCTGAAATTGCACAAAATGTTTTGCATCACAATCAGCTGGCAGATTTCAAAAATGATAAAGTATCTTCTTTGAGGAAAGACCTAAATTCATTCAAAGAATACGTGAATTTTTTTATCACATTAAACATTATAGTTTAGTGCTTAACATTCGTATGTGTACAAATGCACCTTTCTAATTATTTCTGTCTTGCTAAGGTTGTGGGCGAGTTCAAATCTCTGAGATCATTGATCAATGATAACTTTAAAATGCTTGCTGACCATCTTCAACACAATCAGCAAAAAGAAAGCTTACACCAGAGAAAGGAAACCACAGGGACACGTGATGATGGTATTGAAATGCCATATGAAGCCAACTTGCAAGATATTCCAAAAGGTCACAGACAGACTGATACACTAGTCAGTGATAATATTGAGGTTTAACATTTTTTAACCTCTTTAGTACATGTTTAGATCTCCTGTTTGCTCTTGTTCTGATTAATCATATATAATACAATTTTATAACATTGTGAAATACAAGTATATACAGAATAATTCAGTATTTTAAATTATCTTAATCCTATATGCATTTGTATTTTCCTGACTTTATTTCTACATAATTATTGTGCTCTTCGCATGTTGTACATACATAACTATATGCATCTGTATTTCTGTTGTAATGTGTATATATATATATATATATATTACAACATGATATTTGTATTCATTTAAACTTCCTCTATATAGTAATGTTATAACTTCCAGTTAGGCACATTTACGTTCTACCCAGAATGTATAATGTAGTTAAATGTATTCAGATTTATTCTTAAGGAGATTCATTGAACATACTTCTAACATGTATTCAGATGTATTCTTAAAGAGATTCATAGAACATACTTCTAACATGTATTCAGATGTATTCTTAAGACATGTGTTCAGATGTATTCATTGAACATACTTCTAACAATGATGCATACGACTAACAGAATGCAGTGGTTAATGCTCTTTGTGTGGAGTCAAGAGTGGAGGGGAATACTATATCAGAGGTGCCATGCAACTTACCACCTATAGGCCAAGAGGGTGTATCTACAGATTACTATGTATCTCAATTTGATCTGGACGACAAGTTTCTTCTCAGTCAAATTCCAGAAACTAGAATTGTGATGCACAACAGTGCAAAAAAAGTTGCATCAACCCCAGTACCATCTCATAGGAATCGGCGACCAAGTAAATGGTATTCTTCGCCTTATGAGTCTAACTTCGACTCCACAGGTTAGTGTTTTATAAACTAATTATCTATTTCCCCATGGTTTTTATAATTAAAACTCTCTATACATGAATTCAATGAACAACAGGTACCTCAGTAAAGTTGACCCCCATTTTTGAAAAAAGACACCCATTTGAGGATGATTCAATAATGGGCCGCACCCTACATTAATCATTTAGGAATACGACAAATGGGTTTGTGATAGTCTTCTTGCTAGACATGAGCAGAAGTGAGTTTTTCCCGGTATGTCTATTACGTATTTATATTTTTAAAAATGGATATAATTCCTTTTTTATATCATACTTGTAGAAGTAATTTGGAAGACCATTACAAGAAGAACAAGTCAACACTTCATATACCATTGGATTTTGGAGTTGATCAAGTCAATTCAAAAAATTAGTTTTACCTCTATCTTTTGATGGTAAACTATGGGATGACAATGTAAGTTTTACCCCTTCCAACTCCACTATAATTCATTTCTTTCGTATTGGTTTGTCTAATTGTATAATTCACAAATTGAGCTCTAACCCAAATTTGTCTTACATTACTTTGATGTACTCAATTGTATGCATATGTTACTAATAAATTTGCTGTATTTAATTGTATTCAGATGTATTTTAACATTTTTTATTAGCTAAAAATGCAACATGTTTTTAACTGAATCTGTATGATGTATTTAATGGCATCATTATTCATGTTCTACTGTTGTATTTTAATGTATTATGTTGTATACTATGATGTACTTAATTGCCTCTTTATTCATGAATTTCTGATGTAATAAAGCAAATTCAGATGTATTTTTCTGTATTCAGCTATATTCAGCTGTATTATTCAGCTGTATTCAGCTGTATTCAGTTGTATTCTTTAATATGTATCTTTCTGTATTCAGCTATATTCAGCTATATTTTTCTGTATTCAGCTGTATTATTCTTTAATATGTGTGATGTATTGGACTAACACTATGTAATTAAATTTGTGTATAGCATATTGACTTCATATTCTACTATCTGAGAAAGAAGGGAAAGTACAACCAAACAAGCAACTTCAAGTATACAACTGTTGATTGTATATTCAAGACAAGAATCGCTGAAATCTTCGACAGGTATGCTGATACAGATAGTAATGCTAATGTAGCCAAAGAAGAGGATGTGCTATGTGAGTACATAAGGGGCTACATATTGCTAGCTAATGTACCTTGGCATACTGTTGACAATGTCTTGATACCAGTCAACTTGAAGGACAAACTACACTGGATATTGGATGTTGTCTCATTCAAGGAGAGATGTATCAAAGTGTATGACTCGTACAGATCTGCAGGTCATGATGCCTATGTAGCTTCTGAGATAGATAAGCTAGGTAAGCTTGTACCTCTGTATCTATCAATCATTGGCTTTTACAGAGATAGTCAAGGCATAGATTGGTCTACTTACTCAGCATACACTGACAAGTCATATACTGATCCCTTTGAAGTTATTTTCATATCAAATCTGCCTCAACAGAAAGCTGGGAGCATGTATGTATTCAATCATCATTCTTGTATCATTTTAAAAATCTAATTGTATGAATTATTTTTAATTGTTTCAATCAACATTTTTCAGGGATTGTGGGGTGCATGTTGCGGCATACGCAGAGTTTCTTAGCACTCTTGGTGAGATTCCACAAACAACATTTGATTCCAATCTACTCCGTCAAAGATATGGTGCTCTCCTCTGGGAATATGCTATGCGGAAGATAGACGTTGATGCCATAAGCGAGAATGAAGCACCCTCAAAGATTGCTAGGCAAATCACTGAGTCAGATTCAAAGTTGCAGATAGTGTTAGAGTAGCTTTAGGTGAATGTAGTTTTGGAATGTTGTTTTTAGGTGAATACTATTTTTTGAATAGTTTTTTGGTGAAGATGGTATTCGGTTAGAAAAAACCATGTTTTAATCACTTTATCAACAGTGTTCGTGTATGACAATTGCAACTTTTCAATCTATGTTTTATTGTTTTGTTCATAAGTATTCATGCTTAATCTTCAGTTTATATTCATATGTATCTTACAGAGTATGTATTAATATTCAGTCACTTGGCTTGTATATCAGAGTCAGAAACTGTATGTATATTGAACAGGTTATACGTATTTATTGAAATTGTTATATTATAGCTGAGTATATAGATGTATTCCGATGTATTCTGACTAGTTATGTATATTTAACTCAGACACTATCTATGATTGTATGTCTAAGTATATGTGGACAAGGTTGTATTCGATTATATTCAACACAATACTACAACTAAATGTATACAGAATATAATCATGTTATATGTATCTATTGAATTTGTTATATTATAGCTGAGTATATAGTTGTATTCCGATGTATTTTGACTAGTTATGTATATAACTCAGGCACTGTCTATAATAAATTGTCAAAGTATATGTGGAGAAGGTTGTATTCGAATGTATCCAACACAGTACTGCAACTAAATGTATCCAGAATCTATCACGAAAGGCATTTCAGAATTTATTACTTGACAATGTCATCATAAGTAATGACAAATCGTTGGAGCACTAATACATGTCAGAGTGTTAACTAAATTCTACAGGGAGCATTTCTACACGTTCGCTTGTTATGTCCTCCCTGCCCACATATGCTACATAAATGTTGATTTTTCGGCTGCAGCAATTCACTTAAAGGTTTATCGTGCTTCATCTTTGGCCTTTCAGGAGGTTTTTTCCATTTGGGGGGTAATACAAGCTCCTCTGCAACATGTGCTGGTATATTCCAGTCATTTCTGTCCGGTAGCGGGTACACATGCACATCGTATGTCATTACAACAGAATTTGGTTTGTAATAGTTAGAGCAATATTCTTCTGGCATTAGAAACTTGCTCTTCAATATATCCCAGGCATGTGGGCATGGTAATTCATCAACTTGGAACCTCCCACCAACACATTTTCTCTCTAACAGGCAGACGGTGTAATGCCTCCCTCCATCGTTAACCGTATGTAAGTATTCAGTTGATGGTACCACCTACATTTAAACATAGACCTATAAGTTTTGAGAACATATAACTGAATTACCATATGTATAATGCTGAATTACTCAGTTACATACAACTGAAATGTTTGAATACAGAAGAATACATCATATATTTAGACCGGCAGACTATAAACTATACTTACGTCTTAGCTTATGAATACAATGACATACATCAAAAATCTGCTGTACTTTAGGCAACTGAAGTGTAACAAAAACATTAGAAGGCTACAACATGACAATACGTCTATATAAAAAATTCTGTATAATACAGATTTGTCAGTTGTATTCTGATGCATTCGAATAGTTGTATTTATAAGGATTTTCAAAATTCCCATCAGTGTTTTATTCTAATTGCAATGTCTTTAATTGTTGTATGCGTATGTATTATATTAGGACATATATTTCTATCAATGATATCTTACTCTAGTTGATTTTTGCAGCATGTATTTAGTTGTATTCATGTCAGATCTTCGATAAAATATGTGTTGTATGTAGTTGAATTTAGTTGTATTCATATGTATTCATATCAGTTGTATTATGAAAAATGTGTTGTATTCAGTTGTATTCATGTCAGTTATTTCAAAAAACAATTAAGTTATATAATACAATGACATTAAAATAAACTTACAGTCATGCGTGTAGACATTGCCTCATTCAAAGTCAGCATCTCCTGGTATTGTTTTCCAAGCGTTGTGTATGTCTGTGTAGCTTCTTTGCGGATACTACAATTCCAACGTCCAAACATCTTTCTAACTTCTTCGAGGAAGTCGTATATTGGCAATTCCCTTGCTGACACTAGTGCGGCATTGATTGACTCAGCAATATTTGACGTCATTGTCCATCCCCTGTTAACAGGTGCATACAACCTAGCCCACTTTTCGTATCCAGCTAACTCCAAGTATTCTTTCACCCTAATATCTACCTTCTCCACCTTCTCCATCAGACTGTCAAATTCAGCTTGTGTGTATGCTTTTGCCATCGAGAAGTATATCTCGCTCAACTTGGCATGGCTCTTTTTGAATTTCTTATATACGTTGTTCCATAGATGCCATATACAAGCAAAATGCGGTACATCTGGATACACTCTCGATACAGATTTAATGATACTCTCATTCTATCTGAAACGATGCACATATTTTCCCTGCCACCGTATGCTATCTTGAATTGCTCAAAGAACCACGTCCAAGCAGCATCGTTCTCTAAATCAATAACACTATATTCTTGTGACGACCCGGCCCGTCGTCACGTGAGTTACCATCCCGTTTCCCCCATTTTCTGCCTCCTCATGTTTTATTATAAGAGTCTTGAGTGAACGAGTCGATTTGGATTGGTTTTGGATGGAAATGAGACACTTAGTCTCTTTAAGGAAGGCTTGTTTTGGAAAAGTCAACCGGATGTTGACCTATTAGTTAGAGGGCTCGGATGTGATTTTCGGTGATATGGTTAGCTTCGGGGGTTGATTTGTGACTTAGGAGTGTGATCGGAATTGATTTTGGAGGTCCGGTGTAGAATTAGGCTTGAATTGGCGAAGTTAGTATTTTGGCGAATTCCGGTTGATAGGTGAGAATTTGATCCGAGGGTTGGAATGGAATTCCGAGAGTTGTTATAGCTTCGTTAGGTGATTTTGGATGTGTGTGCAAAATTTTAGGTCATTCGGAGGTGTTTTGTTCGGGTTTTTGATCAAATGCATAATTCGGAAATTTTAGAAGAACTTAGGCTTGAATTCGATGTAATTTGATGGTTTTGGTGTTGTTTGTGGTGTTTTGATGGTTGGAGCAAGTTTGAATGATGTTTTAGGATGGGTTGGCACTTTTTGTTGAGGTCCCGGGGGCCTCGGGGTGATTTTGGATGGCTAACGGGATGAAATTTGAAGTTGGGTGATTGCTGAAGGCACCTGGTATCTGGTATTTCCGCATCTACGGAAAAGGAACCGCAGATGCGGCGGCGCAGGTGAAGAAGATAGACCGCAAATGCGGTCAATGGCCTGGAAGGGAGAAACTGCAGATGCGGAAAGGAAACCGCATCTGCTAGGCCGCGGATGCGGTAGGAGTGTTGCAGGTGCGAAAAGGGAATGTCAGGTGTTTCCGCAGAAGCGGAAGAGTATCCGCATATGCGGGGTCCGCAAATGCGGAAGGGTGACCGCAGAAGCGGTCTTGGCTTTTAAATGAGGTTCCGCAGAAGCGGAAAATAACCGCAGAAGCGAAGTCGCTGATGCGGAAAAGGGACCGCAGGTGCGAGAATCCCTGTTATCAGAAGGGTTTTAATGCTCATTTTTGTTCCGCGAAGCTTAGTCTGTTTCCACCATTTTTAAGCAACCTTGAGAGCTATTGGACGGAATTGAAGGGGGATTTCGACAAGGTGTGATTGGAGGTAAGTTCCTTGGCCTAAATACATGAAATTATGGTAGAATTAACATGGAAATTGGTCGAGATTCATCAAAAGAGGGTAAAGCTAGGGCTTGGGAATTTAGTGTTTCAAAGTGGAATTTGAGGGGTCAAATGGACTCCGATTTTGGTAAATTTGATATGTATAGACTCGTGGCGAGATGAGGAATCCGGTGATGTCAATTTCCTGATTTTTCGAGAAGTGGGCCCGGGGCTCGGGTTTTGCCAACTTCGTGAATTTCAATGTTTTTCGAGTCTTTTCGATTGGGTTATATTCCCTTAGCCTATTGTAACGTATTCGTTGTGGTTTTGGCCAGATTCAACGCGCGAGGAGGTTGATTTGCGAGGCAAGGGCATAGCGAGCTAGGACTTTGGCCAGCTTGAGGTGAGTAATAGTTATAAATGATGTCCTGAGGGTTTGAAACCCCGGACTTGCACAACGTAGTGCTATGTTGAGGTGAGACACACGCCGCATGATGAGCGTGGGGTCCATTACTGCTGGGGACTTGGTCCATCCCGATTGCTGATTCTATTGTATTTTGACTGAGACTTAATTAATATAATTTTAGTTTGGGCTAGTTGCCATGATTGGGGCCTTGTGCCGACCTGTAGAACCCTTAGGGGTAATTGTACATGATTGACCTCACTTTACTCGTTAAAATCATATCCTCAGACATGTTTCTAACTATTTAATCTAATATGAACCGGCTTTGGAATAACTAAACCAAAAGGAGAGTAATATGTGGGCTGGGATCCCTATCTTATCTTAGTATGCCCGAGAGGCTAAGTTTATAGTGACTGAGAGGGGTTGAGAACCCCATAGTGAGGGTATTTGATATGTTATGGATCGGGCTGCACGCCGCAGCAGTATATATTTATATGGATCGGGCTGCACGCCGCAGCAGTATATTATTGGATCGGACTGCACGCCGCAGTAGTATAGCGCTTGGGCTATAGGAGCCCCTCCGGAGTCTGCACACCCCCAGTGAGTGCAGTCGACTATTATTATTGGATCGGGTTTCACGCCGCAGTAGTATATTATTGGATCGGGCTGCACGCCGCAGCAGTATATATATATGGATCGGGCTGCACGCCGCAGCAGTGTACTATATGGATCGGGCTGTGCGCCGTAGCGGTATAAGTATGATTACGGTTATCGTGAGGAGTAAATGAGTTGAGAACTGGCTCAAAGGATTTTTACTTGACTTCTTCTTTCAGTTGCTGTTTAAATGTTCTTACTGCTTTGATATAGAACTGCTTAGTGTTTTTATGAGATTTCTTTCCGTCAGTCATTATTTATTGCTATTACTCACTGAGTCGGAGTACTCACTTTACTCCCTGCACCATGTGTGCAGATACAGGTATTCCGGAGGCGTAGATTGAGCTATTGTTGCTATTCAGATCTCATCGGAGTCATCGAGGTAGATGCATGGCGTTCGCAGACCCGATTTCTCCCTCAATCCTCTTTACTTTCAGCACTTTAGACTATCTTATTTTTGGCTGTTCCTCAGACTGTATTAGAGGCTCTTGACTCGTGACACCAGATCGGTGGGATTTGTAGTGATATTTCTTGATTTCCGCATGTTTTATCTACTGTTACAGATTTATAATCATGTTAATTGGTATTTAAGCTCTGTTAATTGGTAATGAACTCTATATGAGGGATTGAGTGTGTTGAACTGGTCGGGCTTGTCTAGCACTGTGTTGGGCGCCATCACGACCGGGTTGGGGTCGTGATAAGTTGGTATCAGAGCCTAGGTTACTAGGTCTCGCGAGTCATGAGCCGGTTTAGTAGAGTCTCGCGGATCGGTACGGAGACGTCTGTACTTATCCTCGAGAGGCTGCAGAACCTTCAGGAAAATTCCACATTCTTGAAATTCTTGTCGTGCGAACTTGTTGATCCGAATACTAAACTTCTCCTTATTCTATTCTCTCACAGATGGTGAGGACACGAGCTACCGGACGTGGCGGACGACCACCAGTGCCACCAACTGAGGCCACCAGAGGCCGCGGACGCGGTCGTGGTCGTGGCAGAGGCAGAGCAGCAGGGGCAGCGCCTGTTGATCCACTAGTTGCCCCAATTCTGGATCAGGCTCCAGCAGTACCAGCTCAGGCACCGACTGTGCCCATAGTGATTCTTGGCATTCAGGAGACATTAGCTCTGATCTTGACAGTGTGCACAGGCCTGGCTCAGGTGGTTTCAGCCACCACAGCACCAGCAGCTACTTCACAGGCCAGGGGAGGCAATCAGACCCCCGCTGCCCGCACACCTGAGCAAGTAGCACAGGGACTATAGACTCCAGAGGCACCTCCAGCTCAGCTAGTGGTACCAGTACAGGAGTTCAGGGTTCCAGTTATGCCTGAGGACGAGCAGCGTCGCCTCGGGAGGTTTGGTGGACTCCAGCCTCCGACATTTAGTGGAGCTGAGGGCGAGGATTCCCAGGGTTTTCTCGACAGGTGTCAGCGGATGCTCCGTACAGCGGGGATTCTTGAGTCCAGTGGTGTGGCTTTTACTACCTTTCAGTTTACGGGAGCTGCCTTCACTTAGTGGGAGGCGTATGAGCGGCATAGGCCGGCTGGTGCAGCACCTTTGACTTGGCAGGAGTTCTCCACTCTCTTCTTGGAGAAGTATGTACCGCAGTCTCGCCGGGAGGAGCTGCGCAGACAGTTTGAGGGGCTACGGCAGGGAGATATGACAGTGTTCCAGTATAAGATGAGATTCTCTGAGTTGTCTCGTCATGCAGTTTGGTTGGTCCCGATAGATCGTGAGCGTATCCGGAGGTTTGTTGATGGTCTCACCTACCCTCTTCGTGTTCTTATGACTAGGGAGCGAGTGTTGGATGCCACATTCGAGGAGGTGATTGATATAGCCCGAGAGATTGAGGCGGTTCACCGTCAGGATCGAGATGAAAGGGAGGCCAAGAGGCCTCGAGGTTCTGGTAGTTTCAGTGGTGCTCCTTCGAGGGGCCAGTTCCAATAGGGTCGGGTTCGTTCCTTCAGGCCCGCTCAGTCAGCTCGACCCGAGTATCGAGGGGGATCTTCAGGTCGTGGTTATCAGGGTTCTCAGCAGAGTCAGCCATCTCTCAGTGCTCTTCCAGCACAGAGTTCATCTCGTGCTCCGTCTGCTCAGGGTTCTTCCAGGCCGAGTGCATCAGTTAGTCACTCTGGCTCGAGGGGTTCCCTTCAGTCCCAGTCCCCAGCACCTGGTAGTTGCTATGAGTGTGGAGAGTTTGGGCATATGCGGAGGGAGTGTCCTCGTCGTGCTGCCAGCTCATCTTAGCAGAGGGGTCAGCCCTCATCTTCTGGTCCAGTCTCTTCAGCACCCGCCCCGCCAGCTAGGGGTGAGGGTCAGGCAGCCAGGGGTCGCCCCAGAGGTAGCGGTCGATCGGGCGGTGGTCAGGCTCGCTTTTATGCTCTTCAGGGCAGGACAGATGGTATTGCTTCGAATGCTGTTATTACAGGTATTATTTCAGTCTGCCACAGGGATGCCTCAGTTTTATTTGATCCCGGTTCCACCTATTCCTATGTGTCTTCATATTTTGCTCATCATTTGGGTACAACCCGAGGTTGTCTTGCTTTACCTGTCCATGTATCT